TTTTTCCGCTTGGGAAGCGCAAGTGTGCGCGAGTTTTTCTACGGCGCTTTTCTTTCGTCGGTGAGTTGGTTTTTCTTCTATTTTTAAGTTACTAAGGTGAATGGTGAGGAAACCTTCGTCTTAACTAAACATAAGCCCCAAACAAAATATAATGAAAGTAAAATAAAAGTAAAATAAAAATAAAGCTCAGACTTGGTTCCTTACAGCTTTAGGTTGGTTCATCTTATACACCATATTCTCAAACATATATAACAATATTAGAGTAGATTTTCAACAGGTTTTGGGTCATGAAGAGATACTTGGCAATAAGACTGTGACCATCTCACCAAAACTGTTACGAAATCTACAATCAATAGTGCTTTCAATTACATTTCTATTTCTTATATTTATACCATATCAATAAAAAAGTTAAATTCTCTGGCAAGACCACTAGGATCATGACATTACTGGTCATCTTACATATGACATCATCCCCAAGGTCACCATAAGTGTAACCCTTAAATACTTTATCCCTAGCATTAGTTAGACATTAGGGACTTTGGATAGGGCTGATAGATAGTTTTTTTTTTTTTTTGGTTTTAGTTAGGTTTAGTTTATGGAAGTTAATATTAAGTTTTGCTGTTTTGTTTTGTCTGTTCTGTTCGTTTTGTCTGTTCTGTTCGTTTTGTGTGTCCTAGTTGTAGGTAGTATTAGTTAGTTTACTTTTAATTAGTAAGTAGTTTTATTCCTTAGTTTGTAATTAGTTCTTATTTAGTTGAACTTAGTCAGGTCTAGCAAATGTTTTGTTCTGTGTTCTGTTTATAATTAGTTATAAATAAGTTGATGTTAGTTTTTGTTCTGTCTGATCAGTTTTCTCTAGTTTTTCTTAGTTACAAGATAGATAGATAGTTAAATTCTTCCTGTCATCTCAATGACATTTACTCTGTATAGCTTTGCAGATACATTCTCACAGTTGGGTATGTTTGCACTGTCAGATCTTTGGTTAAGTCTTCTGTGGAGGAATCCTTTGGGAGATCCTACAGACATGACTGAGGCTTAAGCTCCTTGGCTTATAGAAAGACTAGAGAAATGCCAATGCCAACAACAATGTTCTGTCAAGCATAAGGAACCCTATATTTCCTTCTTTCACTATCTCCATGTTACCTCTTCATCTCCCTTCCTCTTCCCCACTAAGCACTTTCTGTATGGCAATGTCTTGCCTCTGTCTGCCAGTAGAAATTCAAGGGCAACCAATTTCTTAAAAATTATTGACTAATGTTTTTATATTTGGAAGACAAAAATGTGCAAAATATTCAAATGCATGATATGAGGAGGAGCTCTACTGTATTATGTATATTTTTTTATTTAAAAATTGCAATATAAAAATGATAATAATAATTATACTAACCTTATTTCATCTAAAGGTTGTTGTTTAAATATGCAACGAACAGTTGCCCAATTTTTTAAAAGAAATAATCTAGGATTATTTATGTCATTGTCATTCTCATCACAAGTTCCCTGAGAATAAAAAATGTATCTAGTATAATAAAATATTTAATATACTATAATAATCACAATTAAAGTTTATCTATTCTAATTTTTCAGCAGCAAAAACCATTTGGTAAACATTTCTCATATTGGTATATTAAAAGAAACAGATTTGATTTATGAAGATGATGTCAAAATACACTAAAATTAAGAATGGAACTTTATTCTTCAAAATAATCTATCTCAGTTAATATAAAACTTGAAAAATTTCATTTCTATTCAATTCTCTTAAAAAAGAAAGTTCTCAACAGTAAAAGAACATGTTTAGAATTGTACTATACAAGTATATTGTTTTCATAAGTTGATACAAAAAAATGCCACTGCTAATTGCAACCTGACATCCAGCCTCTTTAAATCATGCTGCTTTTATTTCATAAGCTGCTTAGTTAAATTGGAAATTAACAGCACAATTCAAAATCAATTGGTTATTTTTAAAATTAAAAAAAAAATGAAGACAAAGTCTGCCCAAAAGGGACCACCATTTATTTTCTTCATGTTCCAGACAATACACTTTCTTTGCAACTGACCTTTCTTTTTAGGCTACTTGTCACCAAAACTAAAACATCCTTTTAAAAACACGAAAACTTCCATCTGTAAATTTGAAAAGATGGAAGTTCTACATGTATTGTCACCAGGGGCAGCTTTCTTAAAATCTACATTTTCCAGTGCTTGTTCCTAGTGGATAAAAGCCATAACACCCCCAAGAAGGTATAGATGGAAGTAAGCAAGATGTCTGTATGTCACCAGTTCCTTTTTTTAGAAATTACTTGTAATTTTAATTGGATATATTTTTATGTTTTTAAAAGGACTTTTGGTGACAAGTAGCCTAAAAGAAAGGTCAGTCACCAAGAAAGTGTATTGTCTGAAACACAAAGAAAATAAATGGTGGTCCCTTTTGGGCAGACTTTATCTTCATTTTTTAAAAAATAATATAACCTCCATCAAACAAAAATTCACAGATATTTTTTAAATGTTTTGCCAGCCATGCTTATGCACTTACCATTGTATAAACACAGTTTAACCTTTGAGTGTCTTGATATATCTTAAAGGAAAAAGTCTTGATATGGAAAAAGCAAGAACAAAATAGACAATAGATATCTGAGTAGGAAAAATGGTAGCTTGATAAACAATGACTGTTATGTGATTTGACTTGTTTGTACATATTGCAAAAAGGATTTCTCCTTACAACATGGTTTTATGTACAAAGCAGTTGAATTTTTGGATATTAGACATCATATTGGGTCATCAGTATATGTGAATACAATTCTTCAGTTTTTAAAACTGTAAAGTGAGTAAACAAACATTTGTTTGCTTAAATGTTTGTTTATTTATTTTTTAATGTTACATTACATAACATTAAAAAAATTTATAAATAATGAAAGGAACATGTAAAAGGATTATTAAAAATTAATTTAAATATGCTTTAGTATTAAAAAATTAACTTATTTTTGAATCATGTATATAAATATTTAACAATAATTTAAAAATTTCAAACCTCATGCAAAGGAAAAGAAGCAAGATAAGCTCCATCAGCCAATAACTTTTTTATACCTGTTAAAATTCAATATTTAAGTCAATTTCTGATAAATATAAAGTATGTTGCTAAATAACATTATTTACCAAATCCAAAAACATCAGCAGGATCCTGAGTAAAACGTTTCCGTTTTAATATAAATTCAATAATTTGAGATCTTTGAGCAGGATTAAATAAGTCTTCTTTTCGCTTTGGAATTGCAAATCTAGGAGGAAAAAATACATTTTAAAATGTATATTTTTAGTTTTATAATTTTAAAAGCAAACAAACATACAAATATTCTTTGCTCCTACTAAAAACAAGTGTTAGCCTTTTCCTTTTATCAAAATTTAAATAAGGTTCAAGTGAGAAATGAGCTTGAATGCTGGCATGTCGAATTGGTTTATCTTTATAACATTTGGAGATATCAAAATCAGCAGGCTATTTTAATGAAGAATTATAAATTTAATATAATAATAAATAATTAAATAATAATAATAATATTAAAATTTTATTAACATTATTTTGTTAACATTATTGCTACATTTTTATAAATTGGCTCTCATTTAATGTCAAAATTATTTATTATGTATATTACATAATATTAAGTTTTAAATAAATTAAAGTAAAAAACAGGCTTTGATCAGTTTATCCTTGAAATCAACTGTACAAATATATGTATTTTCACTGAAAATTTCACTGATAAATTATATATTAAATGCAAATGCACAGAAAATGACACTTCTATTTCATGTTGATTCTCATTTATAAATAAAGTTTGCTCTAGTTTAATTTTTTTTACTAAATACAAAATTCTTTGAAATACTATAATCTATTTTACAGGATTTTACACAAGTAATCTGATTCAATTTATAATTTTATAAAATGAGGCAAATAACTTTACATAACTTACTTGAAGCTTCTTGTCCTTTAAATTTTGTGTTTCTAAATCATAGTGTACTGTATATTGAAAATTCAAATACTTATACTTTTCCTGTTTGACAAGGCCTTAAATTATCAAGGTACTATATGATTTAGAAACACAACTTGTACATAATTTAGCATTTTTTATGGATAATAATTTAACTGTTAACATTTCTTTTTAAATATTTCTAAGGAATACATATCTTTATTAAATATTTTAGAAAATATATTATTATAATTTTCCATTAAAAGTTTTTACTATCTACCTTCATTAGTTTAGAAGTTAGCAGACGCATGCCTAAAATATTGTTTTGGTAATAGAAAAATCAACTAAATCCAAAGCTAAATTTTCAGTCAGAACAAGTTAGTATGCTTTACCAGCAGACAGCATAAAAAGTATTAATAATGGTACATAGTACCAGCAGTTTCTCACTAAAAGCAATTCTACACATTTAGTCACCATATATTATACCGATAGTAATTTTTAAAGAAAAGGCCACTGATTAGGTCTGACAAAGAAAATCCTTAAACAGAATAAATCTTTAATAATGACATTTAACAGTCTTACTATCAATTACTGCAATATTTATATTACATTAAAAGAAATTTACATAATAGAGATTATAAATATAATCTAAAGCAATGTTTCTCAACCTTGTTGTAAGAGTGCCTCAAGTATGTCGTAAAAATATTAAATATTTTTTTAGAATTTTGAATAAGCTTTTTTAAAATTTCATTTATCTTTTATCTTTTTACATTGGCCAATCAGAAAGAGAAGAAGATATTCAGTAAAATGCCAGCTGTTGCAAAATTTGTGGCATCACCATACCTCCCTAACAAAAGTTGAGTACATCTATGCATATGCTATCATACCAACTCTATAAGCATTGTGGCTTAGCAGCTTAAAAACTGATACTAGCTCTTTATGCATTAACTCAAATAATCTTTTTATTTTTATAATATATTTGTAAAATTGTGAGTTTGGTCTTTGTAAATTTAACTTCTGTATATTAACTTCTATGTTATAAAAAACTTTTTAAAAAATCAATCATAATTTACTTTAAATTTTGAACATTTTTATTTTAAAAATTATGGTGTGTTGCAGGAATCCTATTAAATTTGAAGTATGTTGCTAATCCAAAAAATTTGGGAAACACTGATCTACAGTAAGTAAATTTAATTTTCAATTTCTTCAAAATTCTTTGATAATATATGAAATATAAAAAAATACTCTCTACAATAAAATATTTTAAAGAGAGAAAAGCTTTTTCAAGTAAGTTCAAAAATCTACATTTGACTTTAAGAAATGTTTTGTATGCAATATTCCATTTAGACAAAAGTTTTGAATCTCTAAAAAATAGTTTTGTAGATTTTGAAAATATTTAAAATATGCTTAAAATTCTGTTTAATTATACAAAAAATAGTAATATTTTGTAAAGCCATTTTTAATTTTTCAATATTAAATTATTTTTAATATTACTTTTGTACGGCCTTAATTATATTTGAATATATTTTCTTTAAAATCTAAATATGATTTTATTATAAATATTTCTCTATACACTAAAATTATGTACAGGATGTACCACATAAAAACTGGTTTTGATCACCAATTGAATAAATTGTTGTAATCTACAAATTGGAAAAAATTAAACAAAATAAAATTAGACAAAACATTTGAAAATTTAGTTTTATTCACAAAATATTATGGAAACTTGCACAACCAATGCTTTGACATTTAAAGTGACCTGGTATTATTCAATCAGTGAATCAGTTTTACTTGGCCACTCTGCAATTTACACTTACATTACTAAGGATTTTCATAATCATAAATTGTATAAAATGATTATTATATTCTAATAATACAATATTTTCATATTACATAGTAACTGTAATTAAATAATTTTCTATAATGATTAATGTAGGTAACTTTTAATTTGAAAACAACAACAGATTATCTAGTAACAAGAATTATTCATATTTCAAGTAAGAGCCAATTAATCAAAGCTTAAGTATCTGATTACAGTTAAACTAATAATTTGAAAAGGAGTATCTTAAAACTTTTTTCTTAACCTTCACAAAAAGAATTTTATACATCATAAAATATTTTCAAGAAATTACAATATTTTTATTCACAGCTTAATAAATCAATTTGTAAATATCACACAATAACAAGAAATCATTTTCATCTTTTTAATTAATTACTAAGAATAATTTTGCAATTTTAACTTTTGTTATAAATTCCTGATAACATGATAAATTATGAAATTTTTACTAAAAAATTTTTGATTCTTTCATAAAAATTAGAAAAATTGTACAATTGTGCTAATTTAAAAAATTGATTAGTTGAACAATTATTATGTTAGCATGCAAATAAATAATGGAACATGCATCTAGTGTAAAATATTAAAAATTTAAAATTATAAAATACTTTATTTTCTAAAACAATTTTAAAACCATTTAAAAATATTATTAGCTAAAACAAATGAAATTTAATGTGCTATGATTAAAATATTTAAAAACATTGCTAGTTCTAATACATACCATGCATTGCTTGTGATATTATTATAATCTTTCTAATTCTGCAAATATGAAATATGTTTTTAAAACTAAACGTAAAAAAATGTATATATGAATTCTAAACAAAATAATAATGTAACCATTTGCATTGAAATTTTATTATGAAAAGTTTATTCATATACTGTTTATTCAAATTAAATGAAATTTTATGATATATTATTAACTATAAGTTCATAAATGTTATCTCAAAAATGTTACAATAATTTATGAACATCTTTTTCTCACTTCAAGAAATTATTAAATAATGCTATATAATGTATTGTTTTAAAATATCAATTATAAAAATATTTATTATTATTTATAATCTAATGTGCACAATTTGATTGATAAAGTTGTAAATATTTTATTTAAAATAACCATTATTATTTAAATTTACAATTGCTTGAACAATTTAGCATCTGAGAACAAAACATTTGATTGATTGCTAAGAGAGATACTTTCAATAAGTTTTTGGATTATATGCTGTATATATTATGCAAAAAAACAAAATTAAATTCTGATTCTGAATTTATTATAATTATTATTGTTTTAAATTTTGTAAATATGGTATCACTCAATTAAAATTTACTTCATAATATTTGTATTTTGAATTAATTATACTTAGATATGACAATTTTTTTTGTAAATTTTTGTAAAATTTTCTATTTGAGTTTTCTGAATGCATACCATGGAGTAATTTTAATAAAAGATATAACCTATTAAGGTTTACTCTTTATTTCAGTATTATTGCTATGCTATATTGTAACTACAAACTTAAACAAACATATGCATTCTTGTATATAGAGAATCATAATACTATATGGCTGATCTTTTTGTATATCATCACTTAAAATTAATCAAGTTTGTTTTCTATATGAAAAACAAAGCTATGATACAAACTATAAAATTATTCTGAAATTTAAATACTATAATTTTACCTCAATCTTCACTAAGGACAAGTTTTGGCTATTCTTTAGTATTGACTTAAACAAAAATTTATTATATTTAATTTATAATGTATTTAATTCATAATTGAAATCTATAGTTATTGTTTCTTAACATTCATTTTACTATAATAAAAAGGGACTTATCCACTGAATGAGGCATTCATTAAATTTCAGTTGTCCAAAAATTCTGTTAAATGTTATTTAATATATAATCAATTTTAGATAGATTAATTCATTAAAAAACATTTCATTCATCTGCTAAACATATTTAATCTAAATAATGAAATTTGCCCTTCATTTGTTTATTTTTTCAATTATTAATAAACAAATATTTATTATCCTTCATAAAATATTTAATACTCATTTTTCTTTGAAATATTTCAAACAATGTTTTTACTAAACATTTTATATTGTTTTGACTAGTTTAAAGTTCAGCTCTTAGTTTGGCATCATAAAATGTCTAAAGAAAAAATAATAAAGTATATAAGCAAGATATTCACATATGGATGCTACCAAATGCATAAATAAAATATTACATTTAATTTGTAATTAGAATTAATTTCAAAAATGACTTTTAAATTTTTGTTAATTTCTTTCTTTTTCAAATTTTGTACAAATATTTATTTATAGAACAAATTAAGAGATTTAATTCAGTGCTTATAATTTTTTAATCATTGATTCCCATTCACTACTCAATGGTATTAAAAATCTTATTGAAATTACAACATATTTTTTAAAATATTAAATTTTATTTTTTTTATTTCAATCTGCAAATGGTTACTTTTATTAATATTTTCATGCAAATGTAATAAAAATATTTGGTCAGTGATTTAGCATGATTTAAAACCAATTTAAAAACATGCAAAAGCTAAAATAATTAAAAGAAAACCTCTTTAATAGGCATCTTGAATTGCATAATTTCACCATAACGACTTAATACTTCCCATGGAGCATGAATCTTCACAAATTCCAACTCAGCTTCTTCCTGTTGTTATGATAAAATTAACATAATACACAATTAAATATCTTACTTAATTTCAAACAATAATAGCAAAATATATAATATAAAAAGATAATATATATTTCAAATAGTATGAAAAATATGTTTTCCTGTTAATTTCTATACTTAAGGATATAGAAAAACAAATGAAAATTTAACAATTAACAACTTTCAAAATTATAACAATTTTTAAAAAATTTTTATTAATTTATTCTTCTTTCATCATCCAAAATTATATATTTATTTAAAATTATTCATTTTAAATATATGATGATTAGAAATATGAATGACAAGAACAAAGGTCTAAATTAGATTTTAAAAAGCAGAGCACATCAATTTAACATTACTAGATGAAATATAGTCAAAACTTTTGGCAATAGTCCAAAATAAATAAAATATTCTAGAACAATCATTTGTGCATGTGAAGGGCAATTAGTATGACATCTTGCCATTTGAATCATAATACTTTGTATGCCTTAACATAAATTAAGGCAAGAAAAAAAATTAATATGCAAATGCAAGATTCAATAATCATTTTCTACTCTCTTCTGTTTGCATACTCCAAATAAAAAAATATCTTTCTTTAACATATATATATAACTTTTTCCTATTTATTTTATTAAAATTATATATACAGGGTGGGCCATCGAAAACGAAACGGCAGAGTTATCGTGTTCATCCAAGCAAATCCCTCGGACAGGTCGATTTTATTTTCAAGGGGGACATCTTCTGCAATAAAGTTTTTGCGATTTTGAATACCACAGATAACAAAAAATTTTAAAAACTCATTCATTTTTTATTAACTAAACAAACATTTATTTTGGAAAAAAATGAATGAGTTTTTAAAATTTTTTGTTGTCTGTTGCAAAAATTTTATTGCAGATGTCCCCCTTGAGAATANAATAAAATGATTAAATTTTCATTCAATATCTTATTGGAAAAAAACCTATTAGATCTAAATTGTCATAAAAAGCCAATAGAAATTTTTTAAACTAAGAATTATAGACATTATAATAAAATTAAAATATCAAGGTAAATTTTCAATATCTTTCTTCAGTAGACATTTGTACAGGCATTTGCTTCATGTATTGTGTATCCATTATCATTATTACTTTTGTTGTTGTTAATAATTGTGTTCACTTAATTTATTCTGATATTTAGTGTAATTGCAAAATTTGATTGACTAACAATATAATAGCATGCTCTGTGTGTACACTCATTATCATAGGCTCATAATCCACCACCGGCAAGAACTGCATGGCAGAGATTATTATCAACTTCCAAGAAACGTGCTGCCATAGCGTGTCTTCGTAGTGTCCCACTCTTTAATGTTGAGAGGTAATGGTCTTATTATTGCATTTATGGAAATTATTATTACTGTATTTATAATAATATAAGACAAGGTTTTTATTCATTTATCACAGCTTCAAATTCCTAGGTCATCCTATATGCGCGAGCAAAAGATTCTTTGAGTTTTTGCAAATAATTTTTGTGAACCATGCATTAGTGTTTTTTACCGAATGCTTTTTACCCTCTTGTATTTAAAAACGTAAGTATTTTATCTGGTTGTTTGAATTGTTCTTGTATATTGTCAGGAGTAAAGATGAATAACAATAGGAAAAGCAACACTTTTGAATTGAATTCCAGATTGAAATTCGGAAATCACACAGGAGCACAATATAAGTTTTAATCCATTCCCATATGAGAACAGATGATTATTCGGAAATCAGAGTTTGGAGAAACTCATAAGTGTAATCGACGGAAAATGGATTCGTCAATTTTACAAGATTTTTCCTTAAAGTTTAAAATGCTAGTAATTTTTGTGGAAACAATGTGTGCATTTACGTTCATTTGATATTTTACTTGTAATTAAATGAAATAAAATTAGAATTGTATTAATAAATCTAATTTTCTTTATTTTGATCTTTAAAGTCACACCTCGTCCTATATGCGAGGTCATCTTATATGCAAGTANTCCTATTTATTTTATTAAAATTATATATACAGGGTGGGCCATCGAAAACGAAACGGCAGAGTTATCGTGTTCATCCAAGCAAATCCCTCGGACAGGTCGATTTTATTTTCAAGGGGGACATCTTCTGCAATAAAGTTTTTGCGATTTTGAATACCACAGATAACAAAAAATTTTAAAAACTCATTCATTTTTTATTAACTAAACAAACACTTATTTTGGAAAAAAGTAACACAAACTATTAACAAACATAAAATAAACCTTTTAAGCTGGACCGCATATGCAAGGAAAAAAATACTTTTCCTTGAGAATAAAATCGACCTGTCCCAGCAATTTGCTTGGACGAACACGATAACTCTGCCGTTTCATTTTCGTTGGCCCACCCTGTATAATATACAGTATATTTATGTTCAAATTCAAAAGTTGAATATTTGACAAAGATTCTTAAATCTGATCTAATATATGTATAATCAGATTTATGTATTTTAATAACTTAGTTGTAACAAAAAAGAAAAGTTAGTTGCAAACTGATTTTCTCCTAGAGAGAAAGTGAAAGAATCAGTTATTAAGACTGGAAAATCTATAGTAAGCATTACATAAAATATATACTCTTCTCTTTGTTAATAGTGATATATTTATATAGAGGACTATTTTTCAGCTGGAACATACTAGTACACCATACTAGCAGATAGCATAAAAAGTATCTATAGCCAATACTTACTACTGACAGTTGCTGAGTAAAAACAATTGCATATATTCAGTCACCATATATGCATACTGGCAGTAATTTTTTTAGAAAAAGAGCACTGCATATATAATATTCTATTATAAATATGTATAATTTAAAAGTCATTTTTTGATGATAGTCAGTCAGTTTTGTTAACAATTAAAACATGTAACATGATAATTCTCCTCCTATAAGCTACATTCTAATTGCTTTTCACATTGCTACAGAATGAATTTTGACAACTAAAATAACTATATCTATTTTAAAATGTAGCTCTAGCTTGAGCTTTAAATATATTGCTTCAATTACACACAACAGCATTACTTTCCACTTTTTGCTAATAAAATCAGAATAAAAGATGAAATTATCATTTTGATTTATTTACTTTTTAAACTCTACAATGTAGAAATCCATTTTATAATAATAACAGTAACTTTGAAATACAATTTCAAAGTTACTTTCAAATATTATTTCAAATATTATTAAAAGAATTTTCAAGTTAGAAGACAATAGTAAAATAAATCTTTGTATAATGTTTTATAAATGTCAGTGAAGAAATTCTTCATTATTTTACTGATAGAAAATTTTAAAAATTCATTCAATTTATTTTAAATATAATATAATAAAAATCTTTACTTATCAAAAATTATTATAAAAGAAGTTTCNTACCATCAAAATGGCAAGAAATTGTACAAAATAATGGTGAATACATTATAGATTGAAATAAAATTTAATTAAAATTTTTTGTTGCTTTTTTTGTAGATAAAAATGTGCACGAACTTATGGACTGACCTGATATATTCCACAGACAGTATTGGAAAACAACATGCACAAAATGTACTACGACACAGCCATAATCACAGATAAAACAATTTACCACAATAGACCAAACATCACACTCATTGACAAACACAGTAAAATCACATATATTATAGACATAGCCATTCCAAACACTCACAATGTGCAAAACACATGCACTGAAAAAATTAGCAAGTACACAGAACTCGCCCCAGGAAATAAGGTATCTGTGGAGGATGGATAGGGTGCTTACCTGTCGTTCTCTCCTGTACAGGTGTGATACAACACACACTACACAAAAGCCTGGAAACATTACAATTGAGTAGAAATACATACATCACACTACAGAAGGCCACTATATTGAATACATGCCAAATTGTTAGGAAATTCCTGAATACAGACACACACACTGACACACTTATTTAATTTTAGTTTTGTTTTGGTTGCTATGCCTTGACTTTGGTCCGGCATAGTACACAGCCACTGGTGTGAACCGAGTATAACTCACAAAACCCAACATAATAATTTATTTTTCAAATATGGAGAAAATAAATACAATATTAAATTCTAATAATAAGCAACTGAAATTTGTCTTTTTTAATTATAATACTCATGTACAATGTGTAAGTTTTAATCATAAATCAATGAATTAGTCTTACAGAGAAGTAGATTTTTAACATTTATATATATTTTTATTCTTAATCTATTTTTCAATTATTATTACTGTATTTACTCGCATATAAGACAAGGTTTTTATTCATTTATCACAGCTTCAAATTCCTAGGTCATCCTATATGCGCGAGCAAAAGATTCTTTGAGTTTTTGCAAATAATTTTTGTGAACCATGCATTAGTGTTTTTTACCGAATGCTTTTTACCCTCTTGTATTTAAAAACGTAAGTATTTTATCTGGTTGTTTGAATTGTTCTTGTATATTGTCAGGAGTAAAGATGAATAACAATAGGAAAAGCAACACTTTTGAATTGAATTCCAGATTGAAATTCGGAAATCACACAGGAGCACAATATAAGTTTTAATCCATTCCCATATGAGAACAGATGATTATTCGGAAATCAGAGTTTGGAGAAACTCATAAGTGTAATCGACGGAAAATGGATTCGTCAATTTTACAAGATTTTTCCTTAAAGTTTAAAATGCTAGTAATTTTTGTGGAAACAATGTGTGCATTTACGTTCATTTGATATTTTACTTGTAATTAAATGAAATAAAATTAGAATTGTATTAATAAATCTAATTTTCTTTATTTTGATCTTTAAAGTCACACCTCGTCCTATATGCGAGGTCATCTTATATGCAAGTAAATACTGTATTTGAAATATCACTACTACAAAAACATTTTTTGGATGTAAAGATTTCATTCCAAAATTATTTTAGCAATTACAGCAATCAATAATTATAATTATTGATTGCTGTAATTATATTTTACAAATTAGCAATTTTAGCAATCTATAATTCTATATAAATCTAATGTGTAATTGTTTCTTTATTTAAGCATCAAATTTTTATGCAAACAAAAAAAATTCCTGA